CGGCGCGTTGTGGATCCTCTGGCCCTTGCATAGGTTCCATGACTTGTTGTTGTCTTCAGTTGCTGATACACATCAAAACATAATTATTTCGCAACAGATTATTTATTAGTTCGGACTTGAACAAATGATAAGAAAAATTTGCATATTTTCAAAGCGTTGATCGGTGTGCGTTTCACATAGGATCCATATTTATCGACAAACGGTGAAAGATGGGCAATCGCTAGTGTAGTAATTAGGACAAGTAGCTATAGCAAAAAATAGTAGGATTTTGCATGTGCATAGCAATTTATAACAAATGTACGCATTTACCTTGAGTTTCAGAAAGGAGAACTGTGAGGAGAATGAAAATTGTAGCAAAGTATTTCATGTTAGTTAATCTTAGAAATGGTCAAAGCTAGTGTCACTAGTGTTTTTAGAGAGAGATCGAAAGAGAGAGAGAGAGAGAGAGAGAGAGAGAGAGTTAATGTATATATACAACAATCTTTGATGGAAAATGTCGAGGAAAACGTAAGAAAATGAGAATAGGAAATGAGTTTTGGTCCTTCATGGCTCACTTTCATGACCTACCTACTTGACACACAGTTGTATCATGGGACTTATAACACCCAGAAACAAACACGGATCTCAAATTCTTGGCGATTTTTTTTTGTTTTTTTTTTTCCTAGACCAAGGACCCATGAGAAAATTATTTTTTACTCGTTTTTTTTTTAACTTTTTTTTTTTTTTTATCTCCCTGTTAGGACAAAAAATTTCCGACTCCAATTATCTCTTTTCCTTAATTTCTCATCTTTTTTCTCTAATTTACATATATATATATATATAATCCATAAGTTCAGGATTGAATTAATTATTTGATTCTTAATTGGAAATTTATAATCCGCAGATTAGTCAACGCATTAATTAGTTGACAGTTGGTAGGGTTAACATTTACAATTTCAGTTTATAAGATAAAAAGAAGATTAGGAACATACTTGCGAAGAAAAGGGGATACATTTTGAGACTTCATATAAGGAATCAGATCATGATAAGTTATTAATTTTAAGATTAATAAATAAATTAAGATTAGATAACAGTTTCTTACTGTGTAGCATTAAAAATGTAATAGCCAATCAAAACCTTACTACCTAGGATGAATTTGTGAGTCTTTGATTGATGATTAGTGGCAAGCATATATCAGCAGAACTTGGCAATAGCTTCATAATTATTTTTATTTTACATGACCATGTTTGGTAGCTTGTATTATATTGTGTTATATAAGATGTATTGTATTGTGTCGTATTATCATAATGTAACGGAATTTGGTGTCATGACGTATTGTATAAAGAATTAAAATGTAAAATTTTAATAATTTTAGGATCAAAATGTAAATTTTGAAAAATTATAAGGTCAAAATGTAATTTTTCAAAAGTTTTGGGGTCAAAATAAATTTTATAAAAATTTTGAGGTCAAAGTGTAATTTTACAAAAGTTTTGGGGTTAAATATAATTTTATAAAAATTTTGGAATCAAAATATAATTTATAAAAATAAAAATTTGTATTGTGCTCCTATAATTTTTTAATAATTATAGACTCTGACATGATTATATGTTAGCCCAACATCGACTTGTAATTTTGTCTAATCTTAACATGAATTATTAATTTATTATAAAATAATATAATACGATATGTTAAAAATAAACCGTATTTAATAATACAACATAAATTATATTAATTTATCATTTATATTAATTTATATAATATTCTGATCACTAAACATTATATTATTATATTATTATATAATACGTATTCTAGACGGTCAAAAACAAACATATATCAATACTAAAAGGCACAGTGATCTTGAACGCTGTGAGCTCCACGACATGGGATCCATAGATAGAGTCACTTTTAATTATTTCTGAAAAGGGGTTTGCTTTTCTGTCAGATTAAGTTTGTAATTCTATACTACAAGAAACTGTTATCGTTAAGCTAGTGGTCTCCCGCTGATTTGGTGTTTAACATAAAACAAATAATAAGAAAGAAAAAATGCAGATTAACCGAATGTTGACAGTAAAAACCCATACAAATGCCATTAAAAAAAAAAAAAAAAAAAAAACCCTTCAAAATGATACAACCAAACATCACTTAAAACTTTATTCCCTGTTCAAACACCAGTTATAACCCAAGTATATAGAAGTACAAGAACACGTCCTAACAGAACAACTAAAACAAAACAGGAACAACTAAAACAGAAAAGGACATTAAATAAGTACAAATTTGGACCTCAATATATGAATCAATTTATATCCCTCTTTCTGAAGGCGATTTGGGAGTAGTTAAACCAAACTTTCATGTCATGTCGAGCTGCAATCCCAATTGGCCAAGCATTTTTCAGGATGCGTGATTTGTTTGGTATGCGGAAACCATTAACTATGCAGTCTTCATTCATGGCTTCATGAGGGATCAATAATGGTACCGCTGGATGCAATCTCAAGGTTTCCTTTACCACCATGTCTAAGTAGTCTTAAAACTTTCTAAGTCTGATTCATCCACCATTCTTTCCAGACTTTCGATTTCCTTCTAAACTTTCTTTTGTACCCTTGGGTGCTTGATAAGTTGTGTATATTGCCCATTCTATTGATGTTGCTGAAGTATCCATGGAGAAAATTTGAGGCATTACCATATACATATTATGATTTTAAAACGCATTCGGATGTTAAGGTCATACCAATAATAGAGCTTTGATATTAGGTCGCTCGACGCGGTATTCTAATTCTTCAGACCCCATCAAACTTAACATGACATCAACAAAAGTCCTAGGTTTTGCCATCCTCATCTTTGGAATGGATATGCTCATCAATGATCTTCTCAAAGAAGACATCAAACACCCTGCAAACATCCTTCGTGGCGCTTAGTCAAGACATTCACGTCAAGTGGAGCAATGAAAGGAGTGTAATCCCCAAAGCTAGGAATTGCAACCAAGTACAAGGCCTCATGGACAACAGCCTTGAAACCTTCTTGTCAAATTCCTCTTCTGAATACTTCTTCCCAAACACCATCCTACAGCTCAAATCAGCACTCAAGGATGCAATCTTCGCACTGAGAAGCCTTGTGAATGAACTCAATGAGAAGGCCAATTTCTTCCTTCCTCATGGTTTTAAAAGAACTGATTTTGGCACTACTAAGCAGCTCTAGAGTGCCAAGCTTGCACATATCACCCCAATACGAACCACATGGGCTAAAAATCATGCTCTTTTGCTCCAAGACACATGCTTTGCAGCAGAATAAAGAGGTCTGCCGGGAAAAAAAACATGGTCATGGGTCCTAAGAAAAGGCTCTGCAGCTTCAGGTGAAGAAACAATAGTGGTGAGATTAAGACCTAATCTCATATGAATGATTGGACCATATTTTTGGGCTAATTTATGCACATCATGATGTGGGACTTTTCCGTCTTCTCGGACCAGGAGGTAGTTCCGTCTTCTTGTTCTTGGCTCTACATAGCTTCGTTTGCAGAACATAAACAACTACAACAAGTGCCATAAGTATAGGCCAAGTCCAAGCCATTTTTCTCACTTCGTAACAGAGGAAACTGGGCACCTATCTTCTGAAATATTGGCTTATAAGACCTTGAGACAAGAGTTCGCTTCAGTTGGAGTGTCTGTCCACAAATGTGAAATTAGGAACAAACTAAGAAACACGGGTTTAGTTAGACTCCAATGCTTATGTAAGATTATTGCTGAACCTTGACCACAAACTGAGAAAAAAAAGGCAACAATTCTCTTGGAAATACAAGAAATAGAATTGACAATAATGCCTAACATACCCAGCCTTGTATATATGTGTGTGGGTGTGTATATGTGTGTGTATTACATATATATATATATATATATATGCATATGGAATTAGTGAAGAAATGAAATGGTTTAGTTGGTTACATCAGTATGTATTTTGGAGATCACTTAATAAGAGCGCTTACATCTCAAGTCTTAAAAACCAATTATATCAACATAAAACTAGTCTAGAAAACTGTTAGCATGCCTCCTCAGCTAAAACAGTGAATCATATAAGCATTTTTTTTTTCCAGAATTAGTAAATGATACATCATGTCCATGACACAGCTTCCGATCTGGCTTCAGAATACAAGCAGATATTATCGGCCCCAAGCGCAACAGATCAAAGTAAAACATAATGGCTTCCTCCTCCTCCTCCTGTCTTGGACCAAAGGTAGTACTGATGCCTCCGTAGGAAGTAATGGATCAAAGTTAATTCATATCAATATTGTAATTTTCACCTCTACCAAAAGAATCATCACTCCAAGACCTCACGTGGCAGAAGATGAGGCTATTCGTTTCGAGTTGTATATGGCGATCTTTACGGGTTTCAAGTATGCAGTTATAATAAGTGATTCTTCAGTGGCTGTGAAAGCGATTCGTCTTCATCAAATGACTGCTCCTGGTCTTTACGGAACATCAAAGTAGATTGTGACAATGTAAACTTCGCGGCTCATAATCTAGTGAGGTGAATAACGACACAACAGAGTTTTTGGGTCGATCCCTGCAACGGTTACACCAGCTAACCTTTTCCGCCATTATATAGAGTAGAATGCTATATGTCAGGGCCTTTAGTTTTAGTTTTTTTTGTCTCTTATCTTCCTGCTCCGTTTTGTTCTCCTGTTTGTTGTTTAGGAGTTTTTAGGCTTTCCTTGTTTTCTCTGTCTAGTATTCTCTCAGTTTAGGGTTTGTAATCCCATAGTTTTTTTGGTCGTTTCCTCCCCTGCTGGTTGGATTTTTAATGCTGTTTGATTTTGTACTTGTTGCTTTGCCGCCCCTGGTATGCTTCTAAAGGAAAGTTTCAGGAAAAAAAAAAAAAAAAAAAAAAAAAAAAAAAAAAAAAAAAAAAAAAAAAAAATTAAAAAAAAAATATTTATACAAAAAAAAAAAAAAAAAAAAAAAAAAAAAAGAAAAACTAAAACAAGAAAGGACATTGAATAAGTTCATATTAGGACATCATATGAATCCATATCCCTACTTATGAAGACGATATGTAGGAATGGCTAGAAGATGGTTCGCTCTAGGAGTCGTCAAACCAAACTCTTCTGTCATGTCCAACTCAGTGGGAATGACACCATTTGGGAGTTCCCAATCAAAACAATGCACAAGTTGTGCCACCACTAACTTGACCACTATCAGGCCTAGCTGCAATCCAGGGCAATGTCTCCTTCCAGCGCCAAATGGGATGAGTTGGAAGTCTCTTCCCTTGAGGTCTATGCTACTTCCCAAAAACCTTTCTGGGATGAACTTCTCTGGATCATTCCAAGCATTGGGGTCTCTCCCGATTGCCCAAGCGTTTACGATGACCCTTGATTTTTTGGGTATGTGAAAGCCATTGATTGTGCACTCTTCCATGGCTGCATGATGGAACAATGGTACCACTGGATGCAGCCTCAAGGTTTCCTTTACTACCATGTCCAAGTACTCTAACATTTCTAAGTCTGTTTCTTCCACCATTCTTTCCATGCCCACCACAGTTTCGAGTTCTTTTTGGACTTTCATTAGTACTCTCGGCTGTTTGATAAGTTCTGATATTGCCCACTCTATCGCAGATGCTGAAGTATCCATTGAGGCCACAAGCATGTCCTGCAAGAGGAAATTCATTGTTTGCCACATACATTAATACATTTTAAATGTATTAAAATTTCATTTATATATTTAGATTAACTTGGAAAGATAATGCTAAAAATGTAGGAAAATATTTAGAACATTTAATGGTAAAGATCATACCAACATTACAGCTTTGATATTTGGCCGTTCAATACGGTATTCCGAGTCTGCAGACTCCATGAGGCTTAACATGACATCAACAAAGTCTTTGGTTTTACTATCTTCATCCTTAGATAGAATATGATCTTCAATTATCTTCTCAAAGAAGTCATCAAACACCTTTGCAACAACCTTCATGCGCTTGGTGTAGCCCTGTAGGTCAAGTGGAGCAATGAAAGGAATGAAATCCCCCAAGTTGGGAATTGCAGCCAAGTGCATGGCCTCTTGGATAACAACCTTGAAACCCCTCTCGTCAAATTCCTTGTCCAAATACTTCTTCCCGAACACCATCCTACAACTCATATCTGCATTCAAGGTTGTCACCTTTGCACTGAGATCGACAGAAACACGCTCACGAGCAGCCTTCTGAATGGTGTCAATCAATTGGCCAATTTCTTCTTTCCTTATTGCTTTGAAAGAACTTATTTTGACACTATTAAGCAACTCTAGAGTGCACATCTTGCGCATGTAACGCCAATAAGATCCATAGGGAGCAAAGACCAAGTCCCTATACTCCCAGAACATATACTTTGCAGCTTCAATATGCGGTCTGCTCGCAAATACAAGGTCATGGGTCTTAAGGAAAAGCTCTGCTGCTTCAGGGGAGGAAACAATAATGGTAGGAATAAGGCCTAATCTCATATGCATGATTGGACCATATTTTTTGGCTAATTTATGCAAATCATGATGTAGGAATTTCCCTAGTAAGTGCATGCTTCCGAAGAGTGGAAATCCTTTTGGACCGGGAGGTAGTTTCTTCTTCTCGCCCTTGGCTTTCCATGGCTTTGCTTGCACAACATAAGCAACTACAACAAGTACTACAAGTATAGGCCAAGTCCAAGCCATTATTTGTTCCTCGAAACGGAGGAAACTGAGCTCTTTTGTGCTGAAATATACGCAGAGCTAGTATGTTACAAGTTCTTGAAATTAAGGAAGGAAAAAAAAAAAAAAAAAAAACTAACTAATTAACTAAGCTTTACAAGAAAGTGTCATAACTTTATTTCCAGACGTATCTATTTATTTTGTCTTGCGGGGGAATCTTATTACGCACTTTTAACATGTTTATTTATTATAATGAAAGATACAAAGTTATAAGACCGTTGAAGAACTTTACTTCCATTGTATGCCAAACAATAAGCATGTGCCTGAAATAACCAAAATTCTTAGGTTTGAAATCTTGATTCCATTTGATTTCTTAGATATTGTAAGGATTAATACACTACTCAATACTCATCTTTAGAAATCAGATAGGAAGACAATAAGAGACAAAAAGTAGAGATTTTTTTTTATCAAATATCTGTCAAGTAAAAGTTTCAATTGTGAAATTAGAAATCAGTTTATACTTCTCATGATGATTAACTCACAATTTCCTCTCAATAAAACTCATAATCTTCTTTGCAATACAAGAAACAGAACTGACTCTGTCATGACTCAAGGATAGGGCTGTGATTATTGAGATATAATTTTAAAAAATTAACTTAATTAAACTAGATTAATTAAGGAAAATTCATGAAAATAAAATAAAATATACAAACACCAAAATATATATTAAAATATATTACTCCGGAGTCTTTCTTTTACAAACAATATTTAAAACAGTCTATAAAATCCAAGGAAAATAGTACAACTCTGAGACAATGTCGACCAATACAATTTAACGACAGAAATACAGTACATCTCAGAATTAAAAACTGTAAATTCAAAACAAACTAACCACTTCGAATCTCGCGCCTTCAATCCATTAGCATCTACTCGCCATGCTGTAAATCTAAACCGCTAACTCTGGAGGGGGGTTTAAAACATTAAAAACAGAATAAAAATGAGTGGAAGGCCCAATAAGATATAATTCTATAAAAATTTAATAATTAAAGAACTCACAATCTAAAGACATACACTCGGAACCGGTCATCCTTTAAAGAAAGGAAATACTCACGTAATAGTAGCAAAATATCTGAATAATGAAAATATGCAAAGCCATAATATCATCACTGAGTAAGAAGTAGGCCGTACGGATTTTGGGACCTGCCCCCAAGGATACGATTCTCATATCCCGATCTCTGTGTTCATCATGCATTTTATCATTTCTTAAAATATCTCATTTTAAGAAAGAAAACTCTTTAAAATCACATTTTCAAATTATTGAAAACTCAATAGCATTATTCATGCTAATTCCATTAAAATTATTTCTTTCTTTAAACATGTTTTGTGTTTAAAACATTTTTATAGGTAAAAATCATCTAAATCATGGCTATCAAGGATATGATCATATGGACAATAATATCTTACCTCTCAGATATCAAACATAAGCTAGTCTTTCGTTATCCTAGCCTCCGCTTTCCTCAAAGCTTTTAATCTAATCTTTCAACTAATATTGTCACAAAACAAAGTTTTAAGATACAATACTCATTCCTAAAATAAATTAAATTCAATTATGTCTAATTGTTTCCTATTAGTGTGTCTTGGCTCAAATCCGAGTTTCACAAACGACTTTATAATTCAATTAAGGGTTCTTTAAAATTGAAATCCAACTCATTGGTTTAGTTTCTCATTGAATTTCGACTTAAAAAAATAAGTTTTTAAAGAAATTTTAGCAAAATACTGATATAAATAAGAAAAATGCTAAATCTGCAATTCAAGTTCAATTTCAAAATAAATTCTCCAGAAATCATCAAAACTAGTTTCTAATCAATTCAACAAGTCCAATAACTAAAAATTCTCAAATTTAATTCAATTCTAACAATAATTATTCAAATTCAAACCATAACTCAAAATTATTCAAATTCAATCAAAATTACAAATTCTCAAGTCAATAACTCAAATTTAAGTATGATTTTTTAAGAAATTTTTACCCCGAAGTGATTGAAGCTCGTTTCTTTCTATTTCTCTCATTTTTATTTTATTTTTGTTTTTTTTTCTCTTCCTTGTTTCGGCAGTGACTTTAAGAGAGAGAGAGAGAGAGAGAGAGAGGGGTAGCTGGAGAGAGGGAGTGGTGGCAGGCAGTGAAGGAAGAAAGAGAGAGAGGGAGTTGCCGTGGAGAACCAGAGGAGTGAGAGAATCAAATGAAAGAAAGAGAGAGAGTGGTCTGGGCAGCCACAGCCACGGGAAGGAAGGGATGAGAAAAAGAAAAAGAAAATAAAAGAAAAAATAAAAATAATATATTAAAATTAAGTGTATTTTTTTAAAAAAATTTAAGATAAAATTATAAATATTAAAAATAATTTAAAGTTTTTTAATTAATTAAAAAAATTAAATTAAACACATTAATAACTCATAATTTAATATAATTAAATACGTTTAATTTTAGAGAGCGTTGCAGACGCTCATGCCTAACACAGTCTTATAAACAGGGAAAAAAAAGTTGAAGAGAAAGGAGTAAATTCTTACTCTTCTGTTGACATTGATCGCTTATAATTCCCAGAGATCTGATATTGCAACTCCTATCACTCTAGATTGTGAAAAGAAATCTCTTTATTTGTTGAAGGAAAAGTCAGATCCGAGATGCTTAAAAGACATCTTGAAATAACAAAAATATTAAAGGGCACATATATATAGTACTTTTACCTCATGGTCAAGGTGTATACCGCACATATATATATATATATATATATAGACGCAGGCACACAGAAATATATAATTATATTTTACCACTTGTCTAATATCATTATTAAATAGATATCAGAGATATGACCAAATCACTTCGCTGTCATATTGATTATCATCTACCAAATAAAATGAGGGCTATAGATGACTAATTAATTGCGTAAAGTTCAAGTGAAAAAAAATATATTATATGCTCATCATTTCCTTTTTTTTTTTTTTTTTTCTATTTCTTATTCTAAAGTTAATGATTCTTCGAGATTCTGTATAACAATGCTGAAATATCACAACTTGGATTTTGATAATTGTGTTTTTCTTTGGTGTTCGGACTCTTTTGAGTTCTGTGATTAATTTAAAATTATTCAACTCTAAGATCATATTTCTTAAGTCGCTTCACAAAAAATATTTTCCTATTAATTTAAGGGAAGAACGTGCATTTCTTCTCCAGACTAATTATTAATTTATTTAAAGACCCATATTTTAATATCAGATTGAATCCACAGTTTGAAGAAAATGGGCAATAACGGAATCTTCATATGGAAAATGAAATAAGAGCCAAATATATTCTACCGTTAATTTGTAATCAGTAGGAGTCAACTAGAAATGACCCGTTTAAATTGGGCCCAAGCGTGCTCTTACTGTACTTGGGCTCAATTTAAACGGGCCTAACCCATTTAATTGTTGAGAAAAAGAGAAAAATAGGTCAAGACTTGAGATGAATTAAAATTAATGGGTCAATAGTTTACATAAATTAATAAATAGGCCAAATTATTATTTTTGTCTATAACTAGTCTGATTATGAACCATAACTTGATAAGTTATTGTCCATAATTATCCATAACTTGTCTGACTATGAACCATAACTTGACAAATTTATCCATAACTTATCTGGTTATGAACCATAACTTAACAAGTTATAGCCTATTAATTTCTATAACTAAAAATTGACCTATATACTTTCTTAAACTTTTCATATTGACCTATTTTCTACTATTTTCCTTAATTGTTAAGGCGTCAAGCTTGGTGTAGGAGTGCTCGTAACGTTTTTAGGCCGTGTTTATGTCCGTACCCGTGTTTATGCTTTTATGTGCTTTTAACGTACCTTTATCGTGTCAAATAACATATTTACAACAAATATAAGGAAATAAGCGCCAAACAAATCATATAAACTTCCATATATATCAAATATGATAATATTATATGTAGGTTAATGTGTACTTATTTTGTCAATTTGTCAACCGCAAATAGCAAATAATCTAATAAAGCTATTTACTTTTCTTTAACAACTATTTAGTTTTTATTTGAAAGAATCGGTTAAGTTTTCATTTTATTAACTTAATTATTATTTTTGATTTTATTAAAACTTCTTAATAAAACTAATATTTTTATGACAAGTAAAATAGATTAATAAAATTAATTTTATACTGTATCTTCATTAATTGGGCCCTTATCTTTTAACGTGCTCGTGCTCGTGCTCTTAGCGTGTCTTGTACCCAAAAATTACGTCAAGTCCAACTTATTTAATAAATAAAATATACTAAGCCCATTTAATAATCATGTTATGTCGTATCATGTCCATTTTTTAACGTGCCGTGCTCGTGTTGGCCCATCAAACCCGGCTCATTTTAAAATCTCTAAGTTACCTAATTATATGATAAATTAAAGAGAAATGTTATGAATCACCAATTGTGGTCACTATCACTTTTAGCATTTACCCAATCAAATATAATATGTCAACTATTTAGTTTTTAAATTTTTTACACGGTTTGATCATAATTAGTTAAACACTAATTGAAAAACTAAAATTAAATATAAATCTGTGTCTGTCAACTTTATGACCCCGTAATGTGGAAAGTAAGCACCAATTTAATTTGACATAGTGATTCTGATTGGTTTCACATTTTCAATGATACTAAGCATTGGTAACATGTCATAATTTTTCAATCTCATAATTATCTTTTATGACATCAGAATCCAACAAGTTTAAACATGCAGCATCATTCATTCAATGCAAGAGTTATGATTCTGAAAAGAGTACCATCTCTTAAGAAAGTGTAAGGATAAAATAATATCAAATATCGTATTATTTAAATAGAAAATAAATATAAATTTAGACAAGCTCTTTAATCCGGTACTTATTATTTGTCAGACTGAAACGATAGATGTATAATTTTAACTAATTGATGTATATTTATATGTAAAGTCTATATATTTATGGATTTAGAAACATTCGAGATTGTAATTCCACCGGGCAATGTGTATTTTTATGGATTTGGAAACATTTGAGATTGTAATTCCACCGGGCAAAATGATTTTGCGGCCATCGTCTTCATCAATCTCGATCAAACGCGAATTAGAGGAGTCTTCTCCTTTGCAGTACTTGAGCTGTAGATCCGTTGAGATGTCGTATCCCCTCCCTATAAAGTGACTATAAGAAGACTACAAGTTTGTTTCGAAGAACCTTGAGAATGAAACATTAATTTTTTTTTTCCTTTTTCCCAATGCCCAGTTAGCGAAAAACTTCCTTTAGTTGTGGGAAGTCCTCAACGTCCTCAGAGAAGAACTATAATTAGAAAAACCATGACACCCAACTAGATTACAACATCAATTTCCCCCAACAAAGAATACTTGCAAAATCACAAATTTTCACTGCACAGAAGAAGAAATCAGATCAAAACAGTGCTTGCAACAACTTTACAAGAGAGAACCCATAAATCTTTCGCACAAATGCCCTCAAAATCACGAACCCTGGATGAGGAAATCAAGAAAAATCAACGACCCACAACGGCGGCGGAGAAAGAGGAGGAAGTGGTGGTGTTTGAGGAGAGAGGAAATGTGAGGGTGGAGGAGGAAAGAGAAGTGGGTTTGGTTGTGGGAGTTGTTGGGACGCGGCCTCGTCCGCCTGTCGGAAGTCATCGGCGGCGAGGTGGCTACGGAAGAGGTCGATGGAGTTCGATGAAGGTCAAGGGAGGTCGAGAGAAAGTGAGTTTAGGGGTGCTCGTGTGTTTGAGAAAAGGAGAGGTCTTTTGAGAAATAAATTTTTCATCTATACTGTTTAAATTTCAATCCAACGGTCATAATTACTAAGTGGATCAATCAGATATTTTATAAGTGCCTGATTAAAGACTATTCCTATAAATTTATGAGAATATTGGATCATCTTACTTAACATGTCAACTTTTTAAGACAAATGTTTAAACACCAAGAAAATCTAATTTCTTTGTGGCAACTTTCGGACCCATAATATGGAAAGTAAGGACGAACATAATTTGATACGGTGATTTCTATTGGTTTCACAAACCAGTATCTAAGCACCGGTGCTTATTTAGCATTTTTACGTATCAATTACTATTTTTGTGGACGATAAGTTGGAAATGGAGACAAGATGGTTGGCTCTTGGAGTTGTCAGGGCAAACTCTTTTGCCATGTGGAGCTTGGTGAGAAGCACAAAATTTATCTTAATAAAGTTTTGTTTTTTTTTTTTTTTTGGAGAAATAAAGCATAACTTTTTAGTGAAAAAGAAAGGCAATTTTGACGGACATGGGCCATTGGCAAGATTTCCAATAAAAACCAAATACTAAATAAATTTTAGAAAAAGACATGCTATCAACGTAAGACCATTAAATTGTGTGTGTAATAAATCCCATGAACCTTTCTCATGCTTATACCTCTATCAACGGAATGCTCTATGACACAGAAAAGTCACTTTCAAATCAAGTTATTAGTCACTACTTATCAGATTGCTGAGTCCACCAAGAAGATACAGCTGAAAAAATATCGAGCAATGCAATGTATCATCACTAATGAACACGATGATCGATACAAATCACATGTCCACTCTATGGACCCACAAATTAATAATACTAATGAACACGATGATCGGTACAAATCGATGTCCACTCTATACACCCACGACTTAATAATATTTAAGGAGTGTTGACAAATTTTACATATCAATGTTTGACTTATTTTAAAACTAGTAGAAATGATCATCATCAATGATAGTTCACATTTGTTCTAAAAACAGATCCTTGTTACTATGTGTGAAGGCGATATGTAAGAATTGTTAGACTTTAAATCTGTATTTTACATTTCAAGAATTATAACACTAAATTATTAAGAAAATAAGTTAGAATAAATATTTATTTCTGTTGGTGCAGTCTTAATCTCCAGTAGAAATATTTAAGACAACTAGCACGTCGAGTTATTGTCTTTCTCACTCAAATCACTATATTCTTGAATAAAGTGTTCTCTCTCTAAATGGAGAAGAGGGAAAACGGCTGAATAATTTGACGTATTAAGGATCATAACTTAAATTTTTTTATATATTATCCTATTAACTCTCATTAAACTTAATTAGGTCAATATTAGAATTTATTAGCAGATGAGTCATATGAGAAAAAAATCTTCTTGTTGGCAATAAAATAAGCAGATGAGTCATACGAGAAATGAGAATCGGAATTTATTAGCAGTTCATACTAGTAAAAAATTAGTCATAGATTTTTTTTTTTTTGAAAGTGGAATAACTTTGATTAAGCAATATTAAAAATATATGCCATTACATAAGTGCCCAAAAACTAGGCACCGAGTTAATCCTAAAAAACATCTCTTGATGAGCTACAGAATTCCTCAGGAAAAGAGAAAAGTCAGCAAACATTACCACTGTGAGTTTGAGAAGCTAGGGGTCTGTTTGCTCACTTTTTTAAAATAATTTTATTTTCGGTACAAAAGTAAAAATAAAATTATTTTAAAAATTATTCTAAAATTGATTTTATAATTACGTTTAGTTAGTTTTTTA